GATTTTGAATTAAATCAACCCTAATCACCTCCCAACGGCTAATTAACATCTTCCACTATAAATACAAGCCTAATCCTTCATATTTCTTCAAGAAACAAAGCTCTAAACATCCTCTCTTTTTATTCTAAGTGTGTTCATCCTTTTATTAATTATTTTCAATATTTTGGCTATTTTAAGAGCCTTAAATTCCTGATTTTTATACACACACTTTGAGCTTGTGTTTCTAGTTATATACTCTCACATTCATAAGTTTGAATTGTATTTTTGAGAGAGTATACTTTCCTTCTACACCAGCTAAGTTTTGTTCTTCATTTTAATATTCTAGCCGTTGTGTAGAATCTTCTTTTGTGTTATTCAAAGACACCTTCTTACGGTCGAGAATAGCCGTTAAATTCTCACATTGTAACGGTCAAGGATAGCCGTATAGATCCTTGGGTAAAGGTTCAAGGATAGCCTTTGAAATCCTTGGGGGAACGGTAGAAGATAGCCGTTAAAATCTTCGTTGTAAACGGTTCAAGATAGCCGTTGTGAAATCTCGGAGTGAATCCTATTGGCAAGAGTTGTTTTCCAAAACTAGTGCGGTGCTTTGACGGAGTTCAAGAGACCGGGACTTAGTGGATTCAGAAATCCTTGAGGAGGAGCCTCGAGGTACTAGAGTAGGGGTTTCCCGAACTAGTATAAAATCGGTGTGCATTTTATTTATGCTTTTATTTCTGCGTTTTATATATTGTTTCTGCATTTGCCAACACCGTTTTTATCAAACTCCGAAAAGATTTTAAACGCCTTATTCACTCCCTCTAAGGCGTGGGCACAACGACTAAACCGACTTACATTTTGGACATTTCCCTATTAAAGTCAACACTCACTAAAATGAGAAAAAGTCAAAGTGGGAAGTTTATTCCCAGACGGAGAGAGTATTATTTAATTACATTCGTAATTATATTATTTTCGTCATTGTATTGTTACCATTTTTATTCTCCTACTATGATTAGAACTCTTTCATGTATTACTCCCTCCGTCCCATGAAACATGAGACTTTTGCTTTTTAGGAGGGATTTAAGGAGAGTGTATTTTGGTATTGAATTTTCAAAAATGTCCTTTGATGTGATGGGTAAAAGTATGATTTGATGGATAGATTATTAGTAAAAAGGTATGATGTGATAGTTAGGGTATGAAAAAGTAAGGTGTAAAAATGATTTTTTAATAGAAATGAGAAGTGTTTTGTGGGACGGATAAAAAAAGAAAGAAGAAAGGTTTCATGGGACGGAGGGAGTAGTATTTAAAGAAAAAGGAGGAGATTAAGAAGGTATTTGAAAAGTGAAAACTGTAAGATGAAATTAATGTCGAAAGATGCATATATACAAAAGTTTTATGTAGCTTTAATGTGTTGGATTGGCTTGTGAAATGTGTTTACATGAAATAAAGTTAACATTATTTCACTCACCAGTCAACAAACATTGTGGAGATTCAGCTAGCTAAACAACATATCGATAGTGCCGTGCGTGCTCATCATGATGACGATGAGAAGGAAAGAGAAAATGAAAAATGGAAGGAAGCTAAGGAAACACCCAAAGGGTGACAACAGTAATTTCACATGGGCGCATATGTCGATCCGAGTGTTTAATTTTCAGTGGAAAGCAGCGACTGGGACCCCAACCTTGGCATCCGGGGGAGGTGATGGAAGCAACGTGATTGCAAATATTCCACTCAGTGCTGCCGAAATTGCCCCTACTATAAATGCCGGTAAATTCCCACCTCCAAACAGCTCGTCCCAAGGTCCACCCACCAGCGACACCACCATCTGCACATGTTTCATTTTGTATTTATTATTTTCCACAAGAAGGAATGTTCCATTAAAACATTTCAAATATATATACATATGTATATCCATCTTTTTTTAAACTGATTATTACTCCCTGCGTTCCACAAAACTCTTTCTCTTTCGTTTTTTTGCTTTCCACAAACACTTTCACTTTCTATTAAAAAACCACTTTTACCCCTACTTTTTCATACCCTACCTATCACATCATACTTTTTCACTAATAACCAAACTATCAGATCTTATTTTTTCCCATCACATCAGGGGCAAAATTGGAAAATCAACCAAAATTATACTTTCCTTATTTTTCCCAAAAGTCAAAACCGGAAGGGTTTTGTGGAACAGAGGGTAACTTTTTTTATTATATTACGGAGTAAAAGTTAAGCGAAAACATAAAAGTGTATATCTTCACGGCATTAATTCATTCATTTTTCAACATCGATAGTTAGATTCTACTCCCTCCGTTTGCAAAAAAGGTTCCTACTTTGACTTGGAGCCAAAATAAGGAAGTGTTAAATTATAGTTGACTTCCAATTTTGCTCCTGATGTGATGGATAGATTATTAGGAAAAAAGTATGATGTGATAGGTAGGGTGTGAAAAAGTAAGGGTAAAAGTGGTTTTTTAATAAAAAGTGAAAGAGTTTTGTTGGAAGTGAAAAAAAATGAAAGAGGAATTGTTTTTGAAAACGGAGGGAGTATAATTTAAATATAATATAGGCTGCGTTTTGTACACCTGATAAGATTTTTTTGAAGATCCGATATAATATTAGTGGATCTGATATGATCTTATTGTAGTTATATTTAAATTTATTTTTTATACTCCCTCCGTCCCAAAAAGAATGGGACGGTTTAACTTTTTGGGAAATTAAGGGAGAGATAGTTTGGTATTGACTTTCCAAAAATACCCTTGATGTGATGAGTAAAAGTAGGATGTGATGGAAAGATTATTAGGAAAAAGGTATGATGTGATAGGTAGGGTATGAAAAAGTAAGGGGTAAAAGTGGTTTTTTAATAGAAATGTAACGGACTTTACGGGACGCAATTTTTTCTAAACGTAACAAACTTTTTGGGACGGAGGGAGTATAATTTAGTATGATTTGATTTGATTCGATTTTATCTGATTTGATCTGATTTTAATAAAAATAATTAATAACTTAAAAAAATAAGTTGTACGGAGCAGAGCCTAAATGAGGATGTATAATATGAAAAAATATAAGTGTGGTGTTTCGTGTGTGTGTGTGCGCGTGTGTGTATAACCGATCTATCACATCATATTTTTTCACTAATTATCGATCTATTATATTTATTTTTATCAATCACATCAAAGGTAAAATTAGAAAGTCTCAACAACAAATATACATTCTCTATTTCAACCAAAATATGAATCATTTTTAGAACTAGAGGAGTACAAACACCAAGTCCTATATAAAAAAGCAATTCCACATTTAAGGATAGATTTGCGCAAAATAGTTTAGTCTTTAAAATTAGCTTTTGGTGTACATGAGGTCGATGTTAACCTCCCAACAACTGAAATGCTCCCACTCTATCTTTTCATTTCATTTTTCTTGGTCAAAATTTAAAAGATTTTGAATTGTTTTTCTTGGTCAAAATTTAAAAAATTTGAAATTCTTATATTGAAAAAATATATTGTACTTCCATATAAATATAATATCTATAGTTCCTAACTAAATGTAATTTTGAAATAGCTGATTATTAAATTTTTATATAAAAAATGGGTTAATAGCATGAGCACCCCTTGTGTTTTACAAAAAGGGCGTCAAAACCCCCTGTTTTCAAAAGTTATTTGTAAAGTCCCTGTGATTTCTAAATAGAGCACACATGCCCCCTTACCTATTTTTAAAGCAAAAATGACATTTATGCCCTTTGTTTTCCCCGATCTTGAATTTTTTCGATTTTAATTTCCTTTATTATACAAATATATAAAATAAAATATATGCTTCCCATCTCAAATTAGAATTTTTCATAATGTACTTTTGAAAACAAAATATTTTTTGGAGAATGTTACAAAAAAATGAAAAATAAAATATTATGTACAAAGTAAAAAGTAGTAACAGTTAAAAAAAAGTAATGAAAAGAAATAAAAATATAAAAAATAGTCTTTTTCTTTAACTCCATATTTTATTTCATCTTTCTGTTCTTCGTTTTTAAAGTCCTTAAAATTATTTTAGGGAATAAAAGCATGGGTGCCCCCCGTGGTTTACAAAAGGAACGCCAAAACCTCCTCTGCATTCAAAAGTTATTTGTACAACCCCCGTGGTTTTTAAATGGTGCACGGATACCCTCTCTTTCCTATTTTACACATGAAATGACATTTCTGTCCTTGGCTTTTCTCTATCTTCAAATTTCACTCTTTTCTTTACATTTTTTGCTATACAAATAAATAAAATAAAATATACGCCCTCTTTCTCAAATTAAAAAGTTTCATTTATTTAATTTTTTTTAAAAATAATTTTTTAGAAAATGTTACAAAAATAAAATAAAATACACTTTTTCATTATAAGTAAAAGTAAAATAAATAAAATAAAAAATTTGATAACATATACTCACTCTATCTCTAGTTAAAAATTCTAACTTATTTGTTTTTAAAAGTAAAATAATTTTAAGGACTTTAAAAATGAAGAACAAAAAGATGAAATAAAATATGGAGTTAAAGAAAAAGACTATTTATATATTTTTATTTCTTTTCATTACTTTTTTTAACTGTTATTACTTTTTACTTTGTACATAATATTTTATTTTTCATTTTTTTGTAACATTCTCCAAAAAATATTTTGTTTTCAAAAGTACATTATGAAAAATTCTAATTTGAGATGGGAAGCATATATTTTATTTTAAATATTTGTATAATAAAGGAAATTAAAATCGGAAAAATTCAAGATCGGGGAAAACAAAGGGAATAAATGTCATTTTTGCTTTAAAAATAGGTAAGGGGGGCATGTGTGCTCTATTTAGAAACTACATGGACTTTACAAATAACTTTTGAAAATAGGGGGGATTTTGACGCCCTTTTTGTAAATCACATGGAGTGCCCATGCTATTAACCCTATAAAAAATACATGTATAAATCTACATATTAATAGTAGAAGTGTTTTATGGGAAATAGTGGAACCACTTGCTTTTGCCCTAAGCCGCTGCCTTTCTCGTGCAAACCGACCACGTGTTTTGCGTAGGCACTTCGCATTAATTAATCATTTCCCCAACTAATAAAATGCCCACTAATAACTCTCTTGCTATTAAGATCGTGGACAAGTGGCCTTAACCCACCACCTAATAATATCGCTATCAAAAATCTAAGTAATTTGCAAGTGTAGCACCACCAGAATACAACATAGCACAATATATTGCACCAACAAAAATGCTTGGTGTGCACCAATGTGTATGAGTTTCAATTCGTTGTGCTCTTCTCGGTCAAGATTTAGACACATCAATATTATCAGTGAAGTGCAATAATGAAAATTTATATTCCCCTTTGTGTAGACTTTTGCGTACGTGGCGCGTATTCAACTCAATCAGATGTTTAAGTTTATAATTGTAGGTCAAAAAAATTATTTAGAAATACGCCCTCTACATACATGAATGGTCATTCTTACTTTTGCACGCAAAACGTTTGTTTTTTAAAAATTGGATAAAATTTGAGCATACAAGCAATAGTGGATCCAAGATTACAAATGATATTACGGGGGTTCGAGGTCAGTGCCCCTGAATTCTTTTTAGGTACTTATGAATTATGATGAAAATTTTTTATTTTTATAAACAAATTAGAAATAAATAAAAGAAAATATTATTTCAAAAGTAGTAAAATATACTCTCTCCGTTCCACAAAACCCTTCTCCTTTCGTTTTTTTTGAATTCCATAAAACACTTCCACTTTCTATTAAAAAACCTCTTTTACCCTTACTTTTTCATACTCTACCTATCACATCATACTTTTTCTCTAATAACCAAACTATCACATCTTACTTTTACCCATCACATCAGAGGAAAAATTGGAAAGTCAACCAAAATTACACTTTTCTTATTTTTGCCAAAAGTCAAAAGTGGAAGGGTTTAAAGGAACGGAGGGAGTAATAGTTAATGAACTACTCCGTACATAGTACCGAGACTATTTAATATCCTAGAGTAATACAAACACATTATTTACTTTTATATTCTAGTTAAATAATCTCTCTTTTGGAATTAATTTTTTTATCTGAATGAGAGCAAAAAAGAATTTTTATTGGGGCGTACTTTTAATTTTATACTCTCTCCGTCCTACAAAATGATTCTGGTTTTGTTTTTTAAACAATTTAAAAGGTTTGTATTTTGGTATTCACTTTCCCAAAATTCTCTTGCATGTGATTAGTAACGGTAGATATGATGGGTAGATTATAGTGAAAAGAGTGATGTGATGGATAGATTAAAATGTATGGATAAAAGTGACTTTTTAATAAAACAAAAAAAACTGTTTTGGAGCAAATGAAAAAAGGAAGGAAAAAGAGTTTGTGGAACAGAGGGAGTATGGTTTTTTTACACTATATTTTTTTACAAAAAAAAAAAAGTTGATCGGGGCTTGTGCCCCGAGTCGAAGCAAGGTAGATCTGCCCGTGCATATATGCTCTTTTGAGTCTTGATCAATAACAAAGATATATACCATGTTAAGTAATTTATTTAATGAAAAGTCATGTTTTGGATATTGTGTGTCCAAGAAAGATTAATATTGTAAGAGTACGCTCATTATTGCAATAAAGAGAGAGGTGTGAAAGTGTACCTGTGGTATCACGATTCCGAGATTGAGAACACCCAGTGAGAGACCTGTACGTACGTAAAACATTCAATAGAGCAAATGTCAGAAATTGATTATTTATCTTAATTAGAAAATGGGGAATTAAACTGGCATTTAAAATTGAAAGTGAATGAGGAATTAAACCGACATATACACAGACATTCCTTAAGGAAGTTAAATGATCTGAATGAAAAAAGTAGTACAAACTACTCCGTATTATAATACTGCTTCTAGCTAGCTATGGTACATACGATGCCAGCTACCCACCGTTCAATTTGCACAATTCACTAACACATGAACTTTTAGTTAAGGAGTCAAGTCAAACTTGTGGTTGGAAGCCTAAAGGAAGTACTGATTTTAATGCCCTAACACACATTCCACGTGCAAACAATATTGACAATGGGACTTGAATTTTTGACCTAAAGATTGACAGAAAGTTGTTTTTAAAACAAACTACTCCATGTGTCTCTTCTCGCTATTGTTCACTTTTCACTTTTTTAGTCAATATTAATAAACTTTGATCTTAAATTAAATTAATATGATATTAGATATTTATACAAAAATAGTTTGAGTAATTTACCTAAATAGGACTAAAACATAATAACTTTTCCAAAATAGGACCATATGTTTTTATTTTCGAATGTAGGACCTTTGGTCATTATTCTTTAGTTATTATTCAAGTAATGTCTATCATTGCTGGACATTATTCCTTCCACGAAGACATTAATAAGACCTATTTAGGGAATAAAAAAGTTTAAATCCTAGATTAGGAAAGTCATTATGTTTTAGTCCTATTTAGTGCAAATTTCACAAATAGTTTTATCAGATTAATTTTATAAAATATTTTAAAAATATTTTTTTATCTAATTAAAATACAACAAATATTTTATTTAATTATAAATCAAAAATTAAAAATAGTTGAATAAAATATATCAAAACTCGCTGGACAAATACTCAGAGACAGACAGAGGTAATGTAATAGTGTGGTATATGCAAATTAAAAAAATTATACTCGGTAATTGTTTGGTGGGCATTGATGTTACAAATTTAGATAATGTAAAAACGAAAATGAATCATTCAACTACGGCTAAATATGTTATGAGGCAAAATAATTGAACAAAAAAAAAGATTAGTGAGAAGGGGGACCAAATGTAATTGAACATTTGATCTCTTAGCTATAGCTTAGTAGAGTTGAATAATTAATTACCTTGGCCCGCACCGGTGCCGCTAGAAAAGATGGACGCCAGAGCGAAGGGAATACTATAAGTCACCTGCAGATGGATCAGATGCAAAAGATTAGGTTCAATTCTAACGTCAAATTGACAAAGCTCGAACACGAATCCGTGATCGATCGATCGGATAAGGATTATCGCTTGGTCATCAATGTTAAAAGCAGAGTACTTGCATTGGGGATCGGAAGGAATAAGGAATCCACCCTAGTAAAGGCGATATGCATGAATTTTAATTATAATTCGGAATAAATTTCATTACTCTTGATTCATACATTCTTGATCTTATCAGTAATGAGTAATGTTAGAGTCACAAACAATCAGTTCACAAAATTCACAAACTTGTCTTTTTAACACTTTCTTAGAAATAAGATACACTCAAATAATTAAAGATATTTTGATTTAAAATCCACAAAAGGCAAATTTGTGAAATTTGTAAATCATATGTATGTGACTCTAGTATTTTCCTTATCTTATACGAAGTACTTTCCGAAGTACTCCCTCCGTCCCATAAAGTGTTACCCATTTTGACTAAAGTTGAAATTAAGGAAGGGATAATTTTGTGTTGACTTTCCAAAAATACCCTTGATGTGATGTGTAAAAGTAGGATGTGATGTGTAGATTATTAGGAAAAAGGTATGATGTGATAGGTAGGGTTTAAAAAAATAAAGGGTAAAAATGGTTTTTTAATAGAAATGGGTAAGGGATTGTGGGACACAATTTTTTTGAAATGTGTAAATCTTTTTGGGACGGAGGGAGTATTAATTATCTTAAAATATGAGATCGACACAATTTATAATAACATACGAAGTAAAACTTTTATGCAATGGTTTGGCGTAGAGAAGCAAGATTTTTCTTCGGTCCCAAAAACATTTTTACATTTCCCATTAATGTTGACAAACTTCTAGCTATTCCCTCTGTCTCGGGACAGTTTGACTAAATTAGTAAAATAAGGAGAGATAATTTTATGTTAACTTTAAAAAAATATCTCTGATGTAATAAGTAAAAGTAGGATGTGATGTGTAGATTATTAAGAAAAATGTATGATGTGATACGCAGGGTACGAATAAGTAAGGGGTAAAAGTGGTTTTTTAATTGAAATGTGAAAGACTTTTAGAGATACTATTTTTTTGAAACGTAAAGGATTTTATGGGATGGACGGAGTATTATTTTACTGTATTTCTTTATTTTTATTAGTCAATTAATAAAATAATATTGTTATAATATTGTTATGTCACTCTTGCTCTGTAACTCGATCTTTTAATCTAGTTTATAATATACTCTCTCCGTTTTCAAAAACATTTCTTCTTTTATTTTTTCCATTTCCTACAAAACACTTCCACTTTCTATTAAAAAATTACTTTTACCCTTACTTTTTCATAATCTGTCTATCACATCATACTTTTTATGTAATAATCTATCCATCACATCTTACTTTTACCTATCACATCAAGAATAAAATTGGAAGTCAACTACAATTTAACACTTTTTTCTTTTTACACTTGCTCAAAATTAGAACTCTTTTTTAGAATAATAAACGGCAATCTCAAGTTTATTTTGGGAAGGAGGGAGTAATTTTTTGATACTTTAACGTCAAAATATGATACCCAGTTTAATTGGGATTAACTTCGAAGAGTTTTTTCAACAAGAACAGTAATATAATCAAGAATATATGCATGTGCAAGCCTATTGCAACATTATTTAAAGGAATTTTATCTAAATAGAATTGAAACATAATCACTTTATTAATATAGAACCACATATTTTTATTTCTCAATGTAGAACTATTGGTCATTATCCATTAGTCATTATTCAAGTAAATGTCCACTATCAATAGACATTATTCCTCCCATTAAATATTATTAAATGCTATTTAGTAAAAAAAAGTTTAAGTCTTACATTGAAATATGATTTATGTTTTAGTTCTATTTAGTGTAAATTTTTCTATTTAAAAACTTCATTTTTTAATGAAAAACCTCATATTCAAGATTTTAAGTCCATCTTAATAATGTGTTTTATAAGTTACACCCCACTCTCTATACAGGCCCAAAATAACCTAGGCAGACCATTAAATGTCCGCTATATCTCTGTTTAAGTAAGTTTTTTCACTCCAAACAATTAATTGTATCCTCAATAATACTTGGTACGGTTGTGCTTCTTGGTAAAAAATTTTACATATATTTATGGGATATGCTAGGGGTACACCAAAAAGTGTATCCCAAATGTACACCACCCTCCTACTAACCATTCATTTTATTTTGTTTTTATTTTTAATTTTTTTTGAAAATTTCTTGCCTTTTTTATGTGGTGATGGAGAGGGTGGAGATGTTTGGGGTACACTTTTGTTAAAGATTTGTCTTTTTCTTAAAAATACTCCGTATAATAGTTCTTTGTGTGCCATTTTAGATAAAAATTCATAATAATAGATTATCGAAAAACATTGTATGTCATTCAAAACAATGTTCATTATATCAATTGACATCTTAAATGAAGTAAATCACATTAAATTCACATTATAAAAAACAGAAAAATACTAAATTACATACTCCCTCCGTCCCTAAATAGATTACAACCTTTTTTCTCTCTCTTCTCGATAACTTTTGTTTATTTACGTGATTTCATCAAGTATTTGATAAAATAAAATATTCTTGTCACCTCTTCTTTTGTAGAACTTTTGACGTATTTTTTTAATATGTAATTTTTATAGCTTATTGATATACCAATTTGTAAATAAAATGATTTTAAAAAGTAGGAAATTTTACTCCGTAACCCGCAATTTGTAATCAAATTCGGGACGGAGGGAGTAAATAATTTGAAGGAATAATATAATAAAGTACTTCCTCCGTCCCAAAATATAAACAACACTCTACTATTTAAATTTTCTGGGAATTTTTATTTATTTTTGCATTTTCATTGATTATTTGATAGAATAAAATATTTTTGTCACCACTTGTTTTGTAGAACTTTTGATCTAGTTTTAAATATGTAAGTTTTATTTTTCATTTGTAGGTCATTCTTTAAATAAAACGGATCGAAAAAATTCAAAAAATTACTTCGATTAGCGTAATGTTACTTATATTTTGAAGGGTGGGAGTAATTATTTGTCTCGCAATTAAGTTGCATCACCGAAAACCACGAACCTTATCGAAGACGTGTCCCGATCGTGGCAAGTTCTTAAAGAATCATTTTTGAAATTTGAAAAAGAGGGATTCGATGTGATTACCCTTTGGGAAATGCTTGGTTCACAAACTCAATGATCACAAACTTCACAAACTTGCTATTTGTGAAGTTCAATGAAAAAAATTTAATGGTCTAAAATGATTTTAAAATGAAATTTTAAACTATAAATAGAAATTTTGTGAAGTTTGTGAGTATCTGTTTGTGAACATAGCATTGCTCTTAACCTTTTTCTTCTACAAATTTGTCGAATCTTATACTCTGTATCAATTTTATGCTCCGTATGCTCTTTAATCTAATACTCCCTATGTCCCTAAATAAAGTTTCATTTTTGACTTTTTGAGGATTTAAGGGAGGGATATTTTGGTGTTGACTTTCCAAAAATACCCTTGATGTGATGTGTTAAAGTAAGATGTGATAGGTAGATTATTAGTAAAAAGGTATGATGTGATAGGTAGGGTATGGAAAAGTAAGGGGTAAAAAAAGTTTTTTAAGAGAAAAGAGAAGTTTATTTAGGGACAAAGAAAAAACGAAAAAGAAACTTTATTTAGAGACGAGGGAGTAGTTTAATCATCGCCTTCAACATATTTGTCTTTAACTTTTAAAAAGTTGTTTAACTTTTAATCAATTTTAACAGTCATTATTTGTCTTTAACTTTTAAAAAGTTAGTTCCGCAGATTCCCATATTACCGGAGTTAGAATTTAATGTAACATTTGTTATGACTTATACTCCTTCCGTCCTAAAATTATCTTCCCGTTTGTGTCTACAAAGTTTCATCAACTTTATTTTCAATTCAAATTAATTGATTGGAGATGTAAAATTAAAAAATAATAGTTACATATTTCAAAATGAGAGTTGACAAAACTATATCATTTTATCATAGCAAAAATAGGTAAAGAAAGTTATTTAAGTCTGACCGTGTAAATAATAACTGAAAAGATAGTTTTTAAGAAGAAGGGAGTATGTTTCATCCTAAACTCTACATTAGAAATATGGATTTTCTGTAAAAGATTAGCAAGAAATTAGAAATTAATTTTCATACCACAATTTAGTACTCTCACCATCTTAATGAATTTTACCACTTTTTAATTTTTTCTTGTTTTAAAAAGTACTTTATCTTTCTAATAAAACTTTCTTTTTATTTATAGTAATTATTACTGCCTCTATCACTGAATATTTGTCTAGTTTTAACTTTTTTCGGTCAATTATTTTCATTATTTGACCTATAATTAAATAAAATATATATTGTGTATCAATTAGATATAATAATATTTTAAAAATATTTGACATTCCAGGAAGTCCAAGGTATAATAAAACTAATAACTATATATTTATATCAATATCTAAAATCATTTTTACTTATTTGGAAATTAAAATTTTATAATTTTGATTGAAAGAATCAAATTTAAAAATACTACTCCCTCCGTCCCGGAGTATTCATCTAATTTTGACTTTTGGAAATGTTCATCTAAGCACTTTGATTCATCAATTTCTCTCAATGTGTAAGCCTAAATATAGTCATGTTTGATTTGTCTTAACATATAGATTATTAATATATAATTCTTATAATTTTTTAATATACAAATTACAAGATAAAATAGATTAAAGAATTGTATTGGATGATGTGTAAAAATGAGGGTGAACCAATAGTAATAGTAAAAGGAACCGATGAATAATAGGGAGTAGTAAAAAACTAAAAAGAATAGTTACCGCGAGAGGAATCCCAAGAACGGAAAAGAGAGTTAAAGCCCCCGCCTTCACCCCAGCCGACGGCGACATGAGTGCTCCGTCGGGGCCGAACCGCCGTGATTTCTCAGCGGATTTGCTCACCAAAACGGTCATTCCCAAGCAAGCCGCCAAGAGAAAGTTGACGCCGCCCCAGAGCTTCTTAACGCCGCCGAGGCGGCGAGCCAATAACTCCACTCCAAGCGACATGAAGCCGAGAACCACAGAGTTGAGCATGAGGCCCAACGAGCCGGCGTGGACCCCCTGCTCGTAGATCCTCCCCTCAGCGGCGTTCCCGGCTGGGTCCCCGCCGTACACTTCCTTCCCCATCCAATCAGTGTCGAACAGGAAGAAAGGAAACCACGCGATCCAGTTGAGGCACGTGACGAGCAGCAGAATCCACATGGGCCTCGGGAGGTCCTTGAGGGCGCCGAATATTTGCCCGAAGAATTGCAACTTGGACTTCTCCGACGGAATCTTCCCGTTGCTAACGGCGGCTTCTTCGCCGCCGGCATGTAATTCGTTCTCGCTGACGGTGCTCAAGGCCAAAGTTGTCAGGGACAGTAAAAGTGCGGCGGAGATAAAGAAACAACTCTTCAAGTTAGCACAGTAGACGTCGCAGGCCTTCGTCTGTGAGAATGGGAATATTCTGTGGAGGTGAGAGTATGAGCCGGCAGCATAGCCGAGGACATTTCCGATCGCCATGAAAAATGAGAAGAATGAGTTGGCCGTTCTCATCCTCTGCGCACTCCCGCCTGAGAGATCTGCCAATAGGGCTCTACATGGGCCCTGATCATGAAACAAATAACCACCAAAATTAATTAGGCATCTTTCTCCTTTTTTCCAATTCGTAGTCACAAAATTCCTTTTTCTTTTTCTTTAAAAAAATCTTTTTTATCCATATTAATTCTTATCATATTCAAATCATATTTTTTAATGACCTAAATTAGATTTGATGATGCTAAACCTAAACATTATGGCTAGATAATCTTCAATTTTCAAAAAAGCTACGGATAATATGAAACGGTAAAGTTCTTAGGGCCTGTTTGGGAATAGCGTACCTATTAGCGTTAGCGTTTTGAAAAGGCTATCTACGGGCAGCGTTTAGCGTTAGCGTTTTCAAAGTAATCTGTATTGTTAAAATTTTATCCAAAACGCTAACGCTATTCTCTAACACTATTTCCAAACAAGCCCTTAACCAACGGACCTCAATAACGTTCAAATATTTATTATTCCATTACTTACTACTAACTCTGTCTCTAAGTATTTGTCTAATTTAATTATGTTTTCAACCTTTGATTTATAATTAAATAAAATATATAATATATATTTCTTAGATAAAATAATATTTTGAAAATATTTGATATACTAAATCTAATAAAACTATGTTTGTATCAATATCTAATATCATTTTATTTAATTTGAGATCAAAATTAATTAATTTTAATTAAAAAAAAGTTAAAAGTGGACAAATACTCAAGAAGAGAGTTAGTAATATAATGTTTCATGTGGAAAATGAAAATTGAGTGTAGAATTGTTTCATGAAATGGATGGAATATTTAATTGTACGGGGGTTCAAAGATGAAGAATGGACACAAAGAAAGAAATAAGGGAAGTATATATTGAGGGAGTATGTCACCTGTAGCATGTTATTGGCTACGTCGAGGATCCAAAATCCAACTACGAACACAGAAATGGCGCGAGGCTTAGCGGCTTTCCCAAGGGGGTCGCCGGAAACATGTCCGATATCAGCGGCGAAACCAATAAGAAGGACGGCGATGGTGACTAGGGAGGCGCCGGCAGCAATAAATGGGCGGCGGCGGCCGAAGCGGGAGCTGCAGTTGTCGCTGTAATAGCCGACCATTGGTTGCACGAACATGCCGGAGATGGGCCCACAGAGCCAGATCAGCGGCGCATAGCTGTGCTTGATTCCCAGGAGCTGGACGTAAGGCGTGAGGAGGGATAGCTGAATGGCCCAACCGAATTGGACGCCGGCGGCGATTGCCGCCACCATTATGGTCTTCCACAACCGCGACTGTGGCGGCCGTGCTTGCTCGCCGACTTGCAAAGATGATTTGTTGTCTTTCATTGTCTCTCTAGAACCGTTCTCCATCATAACAATTGTTCTTTTGTTTGCTCTTACTTGATAAGAAAAGAAATTCTGAACCTCTCTCTTAAAAAGAAGGCTTTTTAAAGCTTTGATTTATTTCTACCTATAAAGTCGATCGATCGAAAGATGATTGAGGAATACATATTGAAGGGTATTTATACTGAAGCGCTTGACCAGCCAGCATCTAGATATCAAAATTCATCTACTCAATCAATATCTTCATTTATTTTTAAATACTCCCTCCGTCCCCCTAAGATGTTCTCATTTTGATTTTTGGTGGTTTTTAAGAAGAGTTGAAAAAAGTGAAAGTTTACCATAATACCCTTAATGAAATATGAGTGGATTGTATTAAATGAGGTGGATGTAATAAATAAAGTAAGTGAGGGTAGTTATGGTATTTTAATTGTTAAAAAATGAAATAAGAAGATCTATTGTGGACAAAGAAAAATGGCTATTGAGAAGATCTATGGGGAACAGAGGGAGTACTTTTTCTTTTGAACAATTCTTTACAATCCATCCCATACGTCCATTTATATATTTAATTTAAGGGAAATAATATTAAAACATAAAAAATATATCCTTTATTATTATTATATATATAAAGCGGACTCCAAGCTGCAAGAATGTGACATTTGGCGGAGCTGTAGCGCGACATGTGGTGAAGCTGACGTGTCATTTTCATAGGCAACTAATGATGAGATGAAAGGTGAGTTGGCATTCATACTAAAAAAAGGGATTTACGCACAGAGAAACGACGCTCTTCTTCTTGGCAATCTTCGTCGATCCCTTTTCATTTTCTTCTTCGATTGTGCTTTCCTTCGCCATCCCCTTTTCTTTTATTTGGAATTTCGAGACAAATAAGCAGGGAAATTAATCACCTTTCCTTCCCAGGAATTGCATTCATGGACCCTCATATGATGGGATCGGCGATTAGCATAGATATTGATTTGGCACGTAAATTAAAATATGGAAAGTAATTAATAGTATATATAGTATGAATTCTTTCAGTATAATTAATTATGGAAAAGACTAGAGATATTCTATTTATAATAAATTATTTCCTAATGATGCATATTTTTCTGTTTAATTATAACAAAACATCTAAGTAATTAATAAGATAGTTTTTCACTTCTAAATAAATTTCATATTTTCTATGATATATTTAAATTGAAGTAGTCTATTTTGATTTTATTTATTTAAATATTGATGTAAGCTAATAAACAAAAAACTAATTTTAAAACTCGAACAAAACTTTATAAAACATGAAATGATTAGACTATACATTGTTAAAACATGTAAAATATACTAGATCTTACGGATGTGTGTGGAGTTTTCAAACTGGACATTGGTTTGTATGTGGATGTACTTGCTCCCTTCCAATTTCCAAACATGACCTTCTTTACGAATGTGTGGTGGCTTGACGATGTTCCTTGGCATGGTGATGGTCAAAATTGATGAAGGAGAAGAGGAAAATCAAGAAATTCGGCTAATAGTTTGAAGAGAGAAGAGGAATTCGAACTTAGGCTTCATATATCTCTCGTCGATGCTGAAGAAATTTGGGGAAGAAAATGGTTGTTAGGCTTCAGATCTGATTTTTAGAGGAGCAGATCGCTATAAAATTCGATTTTTGGGTAAGAGAAAAAATCGATTTTGTGTGGTGTCGCAGGCCCAAAATTTGACAGTAGGTTTTAATCAATTCTTCACACAAAGAACATAAACCGGTTTTTAGAAATTTTAAGAGCAGACACTAAGGGTCGATAAAAATCGATTTTAGATTCAATCAAGAAATCAATTAGGCGTTTTGAAATAGGCAAAAATTTGCACAAAAGGTAAAAATCGATTTTGTGGAAAAAAAACAATTTTTGGTCCGATTTTGAAGAAAAAATGTTGAACAAGGAATTTCATCAACTTTAACCATGAAGCACATACTAACGGATGAAATACCTGTAAAAGGACCTTGCAAAAGTGATTTATTGCGCCTTCGACGCTCAAGTTAGTAATGTTTAAAGAATAAATGAATAATTTAGTTAATTGAGATATCTAAAATGCCAAGTTCGATTCGAATGTGGAAGAAACTCTCACTACTAAGGGGTTTCGTGAAAATGTCCGTCAATTGATGTTTCGTTACAACAAACTCAATTGTGGCATCTCCCTTTTTGATGTGATCTCGTATGAAGTGATGCCTAATTTCTATGTGTTTAGTCTGAGAATGAAGAAAAAAGTTCTTTCTTGGACTAACAGCACTCATATTGCCACACCTAATTGGGATCAAGTACAAGGCCGAAATCCACTTGTTGTTGCTTTAACCAAAGAATTTGGGCACAACAACTTCCCGCAGTGATATATTCTGCTTCTGTGGTGGATAGTGAAACACTAACTTGTTTCTTTCTAAACTAAAAGACTAACAAGTGACCTAACAAGTGGCAAGTACCGTTGGTACTTTTCCTATCGAGTTTGCATCCAGCATATTCTGAGTCGGAACAGCCAACAAGATGACACGTCGAACCTTTGGAATACTAAAGACCTACATTCAATGTGCCAACGAGATATGTCATTATCCTTTTAATCACAACCAAGTGTGATTCTTTAGGACAAGATTGATATCTAGCACACATACAAACAGAGTACATGATATCTGGTCTACTTGCGGGAAGGTAAAGAAAAGAACCAATCACACCTAGGTAGCTTTTGACATCTACCTCTCTACCTTTTTCATCCTTGTCAAGATAGCAAGAGGTTCACATTGGTGTGTCAGGATTTGGATTCGGTAACATCGAATCTCTTAAGCAATTCCCTGCAATATTTTGTTTGACACACGAAAGTCCCTTCTTTGCATTTCTTAATTTGTAGCCCAAGGAAGAATTTTAGTTCTCCCATCATCGAGATCTCGAATTCGGTTTGCATCATATTAGAAATATCTTGAAATTAAAAATGGTTAGTAGCACCGAATATGATATCATCTATGTAAACTTGAACCAAAATGATGTCTTGGTTAACCTTCTTGATGAAAAGAGTAGTGTGGACTTGACCCAGTTTGAACTCATGGTCCAAAAAGTATTTGTTTAACCGTTGATACCAAGCTCAAGGAGCTTCTTTGAGACCGTAAAGCGCTTTTTTGAGTTTGAAGACATGTTTGGGAAACTCATAGTCTTCAAAACCAGGGGTTGTTCGACATATACAACAACAACAACAACCTAGTTGAATCCCACAACAGTAGGGTCTGGGGAGGGTGTGTGTACGCGGACCTTGCCCAACTCGGAAGTAGGGAGGCTGTTTCCAAGAGACCCCCCGCTCCAACCATTAAGGATACCATTAAATGATACCATTAAGGAAGGCAGTTTTAGCATCCATTTGATAGAGTTTAAAATCCATCGTAGATGCATAAGCAAGTAATAAACGAATAGCTTCTAAATGTGCTACTGCTGCAAAAGTTTCTTCATAATCAATGCCTTCATCTTGATTGTAGCCCTTAGCTAGAAGTCTAGCTTTGTTTCTAGGAATTACTTCATTTTTGTCAAGTTTGTTACGAAACACCCATTTTGTGCCTATAATAGAGTGATTATTAAGTATAGGCACCAATTCCCAAACATCATTATGTTAGAATTGGTTAAACTTCTCTTGCATTGCTATAAACAAATTTTCATCATTAGTGGTGTCCAAAATGGTTGTTTGTTCAATGTGCGAAACAAAAGCCATGTGATTAACAGTGTCTCTAAGAGAACTACAAGTAGAGATTCCCTGCAAAATGTCACCAATAACATTGTCGATTGGATGATTCTTCAACATCCTCCGTTCCTTTTGAAGTTTCATTTTCTCCTGCATTTTGTCTTTTTCCGATTCATTTGACTTGACGATCTCTTCTTCTTCGTCATGAGAACCTGAAATGTTTTCAAAAAAACCTCTTCTCGCCAATCGAGCATCAAACTCATTGAACACAACATGAATATACTCCTCCACGGTCTTAGTATGCTGGTTGAAAACTCTATATGCTTTGCTACGTAATGCGTAATCTAAGAAAATTCATTCATCCAACTTAGCATAATATTTTCCTAAGTTATCTTTTCCACTATTACACACACACACACACACACACACACAGATATATATATATATATATATATATATATATATATATATATATATATATATATAAAGAAAGTGGTTTTTATTAAGTGAATAAGAAAAAGTAGTACAAGGGGGGGTGGCCAACCCAACAAATCGGCCAAACTAAAAGAGACTGAATACTAAAAGATGCTTCCACAAGCCAACAAATGAAAATAAGGCCACAATCAAACAAGTAAAAACCGGCCAATCTAAAAAAACAAGATATCATGGTTGTGACTTGGCCAACTTGTCGAGAAGCAGCCCCTATCAAAAATCACTAGCTGTGGTAGGATCACCCGGCCAAAAAACTGTCAAAAACCATAGCTCCCATTTGTAAGAAGACCCCTTGAACAAAAAGAGGCAGATAGGGACGTTCCCAGGACAAGAAACCAACGTTCCAGCATCTGCATCAATGAGGTACCGTAACAAAAGCCCAAATAAAACATGGATAAAAGATGCCAATAAAATTCTAGAGCAATTTCAAAGACCAACGATCTAAGGGAAGTTGGAACGAAAGACCAAAGGAAGTCAAATATTCACTTAGTCTTTTTATTTCCTTTTTTCTTTCTATTTTTCTTGCTTTTACCATTCCCTTTATGATCAAAGTCTTCCACAATTTGAAAAAAAATATCTTCATGAATTTGCTCAGACTCTACTAAATCAACTTCTTCCGAGACCCTATCCCCAAACAACATTTTTGTTCCTCTTCCAATGTATGATAACTATCACTGTCATCAACTCTAGTCCCCAACATGCCAACAGGACTCTTTGATGAACTGCTGGTCATCATCGAGTCCTTTCCGATATCCTCTGCCTTGAGGTTTAGGGCTTTCATGTCCTTCAAAGATAGGTTATTTGGCAAAGGATTTCTAGGATAGAACGGAGATGCATGAATTGATAGCTTATCAATAGTTGAGCTTCGAGATGCTTGTGAAGAGGATTCTATCAGCTTATTAACAACACAACCCTCATTGTCATCCTTGTTTAGGCTAAAAGTCTCCTTGTCATTCTTACCTTTACAAATTGAGCCTGTAATGGCGTGAAATACCCCTGTCCCAGAACTTACCGAAGAGCTAACTGCCAACGCTTACCCAATGCCTTCAATAGGTGAGTTCCTCACTGTGGTTGTTTGAAAAGTATCCTCGGATCCAATTACTGCCACACTAGGATTATCAGCCTCACAATCTTTTTGCGCCACATCAAATGAACCACTTGAGCCTCCCTCATTGCTACCCATGTCTCCTACATGTGATTTCTCCAGGGTGGCCTTTTGAGATGTCACAATGGTATCATTGTTTTCCAAATTTGTTAAAGCTCTTGGCCCTGCCTTGGAGTTTCTTGCTTCTACATTCAGCTTTGGAATTCCAAACATGAGAGTTTGTTCATTGGGCATAGCCTCTAAATGATCTTTGGTAGAATCACCTACCTTTTGTGTTGCTAAATTAAGATTGCCCTTATTGTTTAGCAGTAGATAAGATGCTTTATTGAGAAATGCAAGAAATAATCTAAACCCATGCCTGCAACAGTCCTCAGGAACAAAGATTATAGAATGACCATTTTCAAATTTCTCAACAATTCTAATGAAAAATCCAGAAGCATTTGTGTCCAGAGTAAAGCGGAATGCTCGATTACCTGCCATAAGGTCTTGGTCCCAGTAGGTAGTCACCGGATTTAGAAGAACAAATTCAAAACAAGAAGACAACCACTGAACCATATTCAAGTTTATCCAAAATCGGGAAGATTTCCATCGTCCTCTTTCAGAAACACAACATGAGAGTTGCCCTTATTGTTTTGAACCATATATATATATATATATATATATATATATATATATATATATATATATATATATATATGACTTAACCTTTGACTTAACCTTTGGCAAGCTTTCAATATTTTTGCTTAGAATTGAAAGTGAACAATTTGGCTCTAGATGCATGGTTTTGGCGCTGTTATTTGTGAAAATACCAAGGACAAATATGTCAAGGGCACCATTTCTGGTTTTTGCTTCATCTATCAACATTACGGATGAGCAGAATTTCTGTCATGTTTTCTGGAGCCGATTCATGCGCTTAGCTAGAATTGCTGGACAGAACTTAGTGACTCCCATACCTGGTCATTTGGGTAGATTGCATTCTGCTCTCCTCATGTGATTTTTAGTGTTTGGCTTGATGCTCCTTGTTTTATACTCCGTATTAGTTTGGATAGTTTCTCTCTTGGGTGTAGTATTTACTCTTTTTTTTTGGGACAGCTTGTAGGGATCCGTCCCATCCCCCTTTGTACTCTTTCCTTATCTAATAAATATCCTTTCCCTATATATATATATATATATATATATATATATATATATATATATATATATTATTTTAAAGATCTTTATTGATAAGGAAAAGAGTTACAATCTCGAGATAAAAAATACACATTCTAAAGCTCAGAAAGAAAAAGAAGCCTTTTTTCCTTTCCTCCAAAATTTATCAATCTCCCAAGCGTCAAAGTCTTTGTCATGAATTAGCCATTTCTTTTGTCGGCGAGTCCATGCCCAAGCCTGAATAAGCTTCCCAATCTGTTGGATAACTATACGTGAGCTCATTCTGTTTCCATCATAAATAAAGGCGTTGCGAGCTTTCCATAATTTCCATGCGATAATTCCTGGGAGTATAATCTTAAGTGCTCTTTTGAAAATTTTCAAGTTACCTCTTACCCACCATGAGATTGCATGTTGGCGAAGTAAGAGGTTTGACGTGAGCATGGGAGCATCCACCATGCCTGCGAAATAGTTCCAAACAGTTTTGCTCTCTTTGCAGTTAAGGAGGCAGTGATCCAAGTCTTCTTCAGAGTTAAAGCAAAAACTGCAGCGACTAGGAAGTGCAAGGTGGAATCTTCGAAGGTTTGTAGAGAAAGGAAGGCAGTTATTGAAGATCTTCCATTGGAAAAAACGAAGCTTTGGGATTTGCGCTTTGTGCCAGATAAATTTGGTTGAGAGAAGTGCAAGTAGATGATCCTCAGTGGCTCTATACGCTTGCTTGAGAGAGAACTGACCGTTATTCCAGAGGGCCTGCCCGTTGTTCCTTTGTGTGTGAGAAATGCCCAGAGAGTGAATTCTACATATTCGTTTCCAAGTTGGGGAATCTGGGAGACGTTCTTTGATGCAGCCATCCTTCATGTATTTTGCTCGAACTAGTATAGCCCAAGGACTTTGATCATGCTGAGCTTTCCACCAGATTTTGAGAGAGTATGTTGTTTCAATTTGTAAGAGGCTCCTAATCCCGAGGCCCCCAACATTCTTGTTTTGGAATGTGAAGTTCCAGTTCCTCCAGTGGTATTTAGCCCTGCCATTCCTTTGGCCCCAAAGGAAATTAGCCATAAAGGAATTGACAGTTTTGATGATGGATTTTGGGAGGGAATGGACGGCAATAAGGTGGAGTGGGATGGAGGAGAGGACATGTTTAATGAGAATAAGTCTTCCCATTTGATTGAGGGTTCTGCTATACCAAGAGGAGAGATGTTTGTATACATGGTCCAAGAGAGAATCACAGTCTTTTTTTTTTAGAATACCTCTACGTAAGGTGGCTCCCAAGTAGGTAAAGGGGAGGCTTCCACACTTCATGGACATGGCTTTTTCCATCTTGAGTTGTTGATCCGCAGCGGTGGATTTTGGAGTGTAGAATCTGCTTTTTGAAAAGTTTATCTGCTGCCCTGAAGCCTGCATAAAAACTTTAAGAATTTGGTTAAGTTTAAGAAGGTTGAGGATGTCCCCTTTTGTAAAGATCATCAATTCATCTGCGTAAATGAGATGGCTGGGCATCCTAACACTTCCCAAGTTGAAGCGCTTGATAGTGTTGCTCTCCATGGACTGGTTTAGGTATCTGGAAAAAGCTTCAAACCCTAGAATGAAAAGAAGTGGAGAGAGGGGATCGCCTTGTTTAACTCCTCTGGTCATGGGGAAGAAACCGTGAGGTTCACCATTGATGAGGACAGAAATGAAGGAGCTCCAGAGGTTTGCCATTAACATATTGCTGGCAACTTGAGAGAAACCAAACTTTCCAAGAGTGCCCTCAAGAAAGCTCCAGTTCATGTAGTCAAAAGCTTTTGCCATGTCTATTTTGATGAGAAGGTTACCCCCCAAAACCTTTCTGTCTAGTCCATGTATGGCTTCTTGAGCAAGGAGAATATGGTCATCAATGGACTTACCTTTCTGGAAAGCTCCTTGTTCTGGTGAGATGAGTTTGGGGAGCATCATTTTAAGTCTGTTGGCAAGGAGTTTAGTATTAATTTTGCTGAGAAAGGTTGAGAGGGAGATGGGCCTAAAATCATCAAACCGTTTTGGATTTTCTTTCTTGGGAATCAAGGTGATGAGGGTACTGCCATATCCTTTTGGAATTGGGAGGCCCAGAAATAATTCTTGAGAGGCAGTGAGGACATCCTGTTGGATTATATCCCAACAAGCCCTAAAAAAATTACCATTAAAGCCATCCGGGCCACTTGCGCTGTCAGGATCCAGGTCCCAAACAGTTGCTTTTACCTCAGCCAAATCTGGGAGCTTAGTGAGAAATAGGTTGTCTTCATTGGAGATGAGAGGAGGGATAAAGGGCAGAATATTGCCCAAATCAGGAATGGAAGTTGCTGGAGCTTGGAATTTGTTCTGAAAGTGTCTGATAGCTTATTGTTTGATGTCATCCATGTTATTGAGTCCCTTGCCATTCCCATCAATGATGTGAGAAATTTGAAGCTTCTTTCTTTTTCCCTTTGCAAAGGCTTGGAAGAATTTGGTGTTAGAATCTCCCTTGTCTAGCAATCCGATTTGAGCTTTTTGCCTCCAATATTCCACCTCCATGTTCGTCGCTACGATCAGTGCAGCATTGTCCCTTTGAGCAGAAGTTATGTTTTCCTCATTTGGGAAGTCCTCGAATTCTTTTTGGCTTTGGTTGGCCCTTGCTTCGGCTTCTTTGAGTTTAGAGTGAATGTTTCCAAAAGTATCTTTATTCCATTTCTTCAGGGTTTGCTTCACAGCTTTAAGTTTCTGAAGGAGACCTCTCATACCTCCAGTGGTAGGGGAATTTTCCCAAGAAAGCTTGACAGTATGGAGGAAGTTCTCATGAAGGGTCCAGGTGTTTAGAAATCTGAAAGGCTTGGGAGTATTGGGAATCTGGTCATTACAGTGCAGGAGAATGGGTTTGTGATCAGAGTTGGCTTTGGCAAGGTGATGAAGCTCCACATCTTGAAAGAAGGCGAGAAGGTCCAGGTGAATCATTACTCTGTCTAGTCTACGCCAGGTCCTGCCTTGGGAGCGTACACTTGACCATGTGAAGGTACTACCAATGGGATCGAGATTGATGAGTTTGCAGTGAAGGATGCATGAATTGAAGTCCTCCATACTAAGTTGGTTTGGAGGGCAGGTTCCTTTTGACTCATGTGGTGAGGTAATGGCATTAAAATCCCCGCCAACTATCCAGCGTTTGTTTGAGGGACAAATTGTAGAAAGTTCCTCCCAGAGCTCCTTCCTAGCCAAGATCGTGTGAGCACCATAAACCCCAGAAATCAAAATGGGAGAGTTGTCCATTTGAAGGGTGAAAAGGCAACTGGTTACTTGTGGGAAATCTGAGAAGGAGATGAGTTTAAAGCATGACTCGTTCCAGAAGATCCATTTCTTATTATTTTGTGATCCAAGACTATGAGAGAAGTTGAGTTTAATACGGAAGGATTCAAGCTGAGAAGGGTTAACCATAGGTTCCAAAATGCATAAGTAGTCTAAATCATGTGCTCTCCTTAGGGAAATTAGTCTGTTGAGAGAGGAGGCAGCTCCACAGACATTCCAGAAAAGGAGTTTCATAAAAGAACCTTGGGTGGGGGTACATCTTTAGAAGTTTTGCTTCGAGTCATCACCGAGGATGGTGGAATATCTTTTCTGGGTTTGCGGTGTTTAGGTAACGATATGGATTGTTTAGAACATCTTCCAACATCCAAATGGAAGGGAATTGGGGGTGATGTGGTGAAAGGTTTATCATTTTCCCCTCCATCAGAGTGGCAAACAAAAGGAATGGATTCCTCCAGAACGGAGCTGCTGTCTGATTTGGTTTCCCAAGTTGGTTGAAGTTGATCATTAATCCAGCAGTCATCTTTGCTACCTGGCCTCGGTGGTTCATCATTTGTTGGTGGAAAAACTCCCAGTGGGTAAGAGTCTTCCTGGAAGGGGTTAAACGGGATAATATCCATGCAAGGTTGGGGTTTGGGAACATGGAGGAAAGAAAGGTCAAGAAGAGATTCTGACTGGTGGGACTGAAGAGTAGGCTTGGAGGGAAATGACTTACTTGTGATGGTTGGGGGGCAATTGGTATCCTCTTCAGGTACATCTTCCACCATAGGCATCAGGCCTTCCCAATGAACCTGTTTTGGCGTATGGTTGGTTGAGGGCTCACCCTTTTGGACGTGAGTGTTTGAAAACCTGGATATGCCCTCTGGTCCTTTACTCTTGTTGCTTTTGTTCTATTGTTGTTGGTGTATTGATTTGTATCTGAAAGCCCCATGCATTGCATATTGGTTTAATGAGGGACCCCCCATTACTCTTTTGCCAGACTTGTTGTGTCGTTTGCTAGGGACCATTTTCCAATCATGCTGATTATTCTGAAATCCACACGGTCCCATATGACCCACCTCCCTGGTCGGAGCAATGACAGGGAGGTTCTCTGGCATTTTTTTCCGGCAGGATTGAAGGTTGTGCCCAAACCTGTGACATATTGGGCAGTATAGGGGAGGGTTTTCAAATCTGCAGGGTAACCAGAGATCTTTAGTTCCAAGCCTGAGATGAATATGAGAAGGAAAGGGGATGGACAGTTCTCTCTCAACGCAGACCCTAATCTGGTCGGGTTTAACTCCAATGACCGAGTTGGAGTCCAGCTTGATTGGTTTCCCAAGAGCAAAAGCTATTGAGAAGATTGCTTTGTGGTCATTGAGGTGAATGGGGAAGTTCTTCAACTCAACCCAAAGAGGGAAGAGAGGTGAGTCTGCTGAGGGTTCATGCTCCGGCGTCCACTTGCAAATAGTGATGATACATCCTTTAATTTTCCACCTCCTTCTTGAAAACCAGCGAAGGTAGTCTTTTTCATGTTTAAAGATGAAGAGGAGTTCATTGGATTGAAGCCTTCGTAATTTGAACTCCTTGAATCTGCCTTTGATTAAGAAATCTTCAACCTCGGATAGGTGGACTAGGCTACTGCATCTTCCTACCATTCGGATTTTGGAAACTAGAACAAAAGGTAACAGGTTCATTCATATCCCCTTTGGAGTTCATAATAACGGGCCTAATCTATTCTCTAAGGCCCTCTTATCCTTTGTTGAGAGAGTTCGGTGTTTACCGGACGTTACTGACCCTACCGTGAAGGGTACCGGATCTGTTGTAATCACTGTAGCAAATTGCCAATTTAAATTCAAATCACCCCTAATCACCTCCAAACGGCTAATTAACATCTTCCACTATAAATACAAGCCTAATCCTTCATATTTCTTCAAGAAACAAAGCTCTAAACATCCTCTCTTTTTATTCTAAGTGTGTTCATCCTTTTATTAATTATTTTCAATATTTTGACTATTTTAAGAGCCTTAAATTCCTGATTTTTATAAACACACTTTGAGCTTGTGTTTCTAGTTATATACTCTGATATTCATAAGTTTGAATTGTATTTTTGAGAGAGTATATTTTCCTTCTACACCGGCTAACTTTTGTTCTTCATTTTAATATTCTAGCCGTTGTGTAGAATCTACTTTTGTGTTCTTCAAACACACCTTCTTACGGTCGAGAATAGCCGTTAAATTCTCACGTTGTAATGGTTAAGGATAGCCGTAAAAATCCTTGGGTAAAGGTTCAAGGATAGCCTTTTAAATCCTTGGGGGACCGGTAGAAGATAGCCATTAAATCTTCATTGTAAACGGTTCGAGATAGCCGTTGTGAAATCTCGGAGTGAATCCTATTGGCAAGGGTTGTTTTCCAAAACTAGTGCGGTGCTTTGACGGAGTTCAAGAGGCCAGGACTTAGTGGATTCGGAAATCCTTGAGGAGGAGCCTCGAGGTACTAGAGTAGGGAGTTCCCGAACTAGTATAAAATCGGTGTGCATTTTACTTTACGCTTTTATTTCTGCGTTTTATATATTGCTTCCGCATTTTCCAACACCGTCTTTATGAAACTCCGAAAAGATTTTAAACGCCTTATTCACCGCCCCTCTAAGGCGTGGGCACAATGTCTAAACCGACTAACAATTGGTTTAAGAAGAGTTGGTAGCGACTAAGGTCCTACAAGTGGCATCGGAGCCAAGGTCTCGAGTTCGATTCCCAGCGGGAGCAATTGCTCAGGGGGAGATTGTTGGCCAAGTGTGCAGCAATTGTCCCGTGGCGGAGGCTATGTGGGCCAAGTCACAATCGAATGTCGTGGGCGCTTGTGTGCTCAATGCACTATAAGGCTAGGGTATGCGCCTCTTCTAACACCAATTGGTTTTAGAAGAGTTGGTAGCGCCTAAGGTCCTACAGTAACGGTTTGTTAAGCACCCGTACGCTTAACGGAAGTAGTGTAGCTCGAGAGAGTCTCTCGAGATACTAGATTAGCCACACGTTGTGGTGAACCAGTATAAATCTTGGTGTTCTCCCTTTACGCTTTCTACACTCTTTAATTTTCGGGTTCTTAATTTTTTATTCCTGCGATTTCTACGATCAAACGCAATTCACCTCCCCCTCTAGCGTTGGCCACTTATTCTAATAATTGGTATTAGAGCCTAACTCGCGTCCAAACTTAACCGTTTGAGAGAAAAGCGATCATGGGTTCTTCTTCTAGAAATTTGTATGCAGGAATAGGTGAAGGGTAATCAACCACACGACCACCTCTTTTTGATGGAACCAATTATCCATATTGGAAAGAACGAATGAGAATTTATATTCGTTCTACGAACTTCCAATTATGGTTGGTTATCAAAAACGGGGAAGAGGTGCCGATGAAGAAAGTTGGAGACAAGTTGCTCCCAAAGACCGAAGACGAGTTTGATGCCGAGGACATCAAGAAGGTCGAAAGTTATGCAAAGGCAATAAGCATGGGGCTCTATTGTGCCGTAAATCCTGATGACTACCACAAGATCTCCTGCTGCACAACCGCCAAGGAGATGTGGGACAAACTTGAGGTGACGTACGAATGAACAGACCAAGTACGTGAAGCCAATATCGACTTCCTCACCCAAGAGTATGAGATGTTTAAGATGAAGGAGCACGAGAAGATCGACGACATGTTCGACTGATTCTCCAAGATAGTCAACGATCTTCATGCATTGAAGAAGACTTACACCGACAGGGATCTTGTGCGAAAGATCCTACGGAGCTTGATATCCGAATGGCGATCTAAGGTCAATGCCATCTATGAATCAATCGGCACATCAAATGTCACCATCGACGGTCTAAGAGGTAATCTAAAAACTTATGAATCTACTATTCTTAACCCGTCTTTGAATGACCAAAGGAAAGGCATATGATTAAAAACCGTCAAAGAATCAACGATGAATGATTCAAGCGACGATGATGAAGTCAAGCTTGTCATGAAGAAGTTTTGTAAACTTCTAAGGAAGAAAGAGAAGGTTGAGGATGGCCCTGAGTGCTATGGATGTGGTGAAGCCGGGCATATCAAGAACAAATGCCCGAGAAGCGGAAGGAATGCTCACCACTTCAAAAGGCAAAGGGCATACATCTCCTGGGGTGGAGACTCTGGCGACGAGTCAACTGACCAAGACGAGGATGAAGCTGCCAACCTCTGTCTTATGGCACACGAAGACGAGAACGGCGACGTGCAAGAGATATGTACCACTTCTTCCGACTCTTATACTTTTGAAGAAATGCAAGAAGCACTTCATGAACTTTATGATGAATTTGTTAGCGCTTCTAAAATCAACAAATCGTTAAAGAAACGCCTCTCCACTCTTGAAAATGATTTTGAAAAGCTGGACAAAGATAATGAGAAGTTAAAACAAGAAAATAAATTTTATGGCAAAAGAAGCGCCGACAAACCGGAAAGTTCCTCAAACGAAAGTGAATCTTGTAAAGCTTTAGAGGAACAAGTCACAAAACTTGAGAGTACGGTTAAGAAATTTAATACTCCGCCCAAAGATCTTAATTTACTCCTTGACACCATGCATTTTTCTAAAGAATGAATATGTTTTAATACAAATGGAGCTAAGGATAAAGAAAACGCTGAGCAATCACCTAGACAACCACCTAAGGCTCAACGTAAGAAACTTAAAAATCAGAATAATAGAAAACCTAGTCAATCTAAGAACACTAGACAACCTATACAAAAACCTAGGAATGAAAATGTTCATGTTAGACAACCTAAGAAAACTTATCAAAATGATTTTGTGCAAAATAATAATTTTTCTCAAAATAGAAGAAACAATATGAGAACACATAGAAATGATCTTTTTGAAAACATGCATAAACCATCTTTTTCTCAAAAATAGGACAAACATGGTTAGGTCCCCTAGCTATTATCAACCTAAGCATATGTTCAACCCAAACGTAATATGCCATTATTGCAATAGGGTATGACATATAGCTCCCGTGTGTTTTACCAGACATAGGCACTTCAACTATAAAGAAACACACAACATATTTGGTGCTAACGAAAAGAAATCCTTTAGAAAAGGATATTCGTATCATAAGCAATCTCCACAGGATAATGCACAAAAGAAACTTACTATTTCTTCTACTTTGACGAAAAGAAGAATGTCCACATTCTGTTATCAGGACGGACACAAATCACACTGAGATATCGGCACTCTGTTCAGGTAGACTGGAACCCGCTAACCACGAGACGACAGGTTGGCCAAGGTAACTCCTAAACGATCATCTAATCATGTGTGTGTGTGTGTGCACGTAAGGAAACGAATTTTGTGTGTGTGTGTGTGTGTGGGCAATAAAGGTTAACTAACCCCCAAGGACCCATAGTCATACTTTGGGTACCAAAGTGTTGTTTTTTTGCAGGGACGGTTAGAAGTGAGGGAATCAGGAAGTCAGGGGGAACCAACAATGGGTTGTTTATACCATCGATGGGAGGGGAGTCTTTTCTTTCCAGAACCTCTCTACCCATTGATGGAAACTTCCTTCCATCGTTGGGTACTTGACTCTATTTTTAAAAATAGTTAACAAATTTCCAGAACCCCTTTACCCATCAATGGGAACTTTCTCCCATCGCTGGGTGATTGTCTTTTGTTAAAAAAAAATTATTTCAAAACCTCCTCACCCATCGATGGGAACATCCTCCCATCGCTGGTTGTTTGACACTATTTTTTTAAAATTTTTAATGGATTTCAAAAATTCACCTACCCAGCGATGGGATGGTATTAACATCGCTGGGAAGGCCAATTTCAGTTTTTCTCCTCTTTCCAGTAGCCACCTTCCCATCGATGCGAGAACCCACACATCGCTGGGAAGGCAGCCTTGATCTCTTCCTCGCTTTCTAGTGATCATCTTCCCATCGATGGGTAGATCTTACCATCGCTGTGAAGGCTGTTGCAAGTCAAAAAATTATAGCCGTTGGGCACCAAATTTAATGCTCAACAGCCATATTTTTTGAATTCATTTCTAAACACAATTTACATCACAATTTCATTCTCTTAAGCCTATTCTTCCAAATTCATCACCTTTTCTTCAAAAACACCTCAATAATGGCCGGAGGAAAGTCAAAGATGAAGGCGTCCAAGAAGAAAGGCCCTGCCGAAGCCTCAAGCGCTGCGCCTCAATCCTTTCCGTACCTTGACGGATCCTTTCTCGAGTTCGGGTTGGAGGAGGAACTCACCCGATTACTCACACACTTCGCCAAGCGCCCCATCTCTCTGCCTCGAGTGCTCCTGGAGTTGTTTCCCCAACAAAAGGGGTACCATGAGCTCGACAACCAACTCCAAGCGTCGGGTTTGTGGCCCTTTGTCTTTTAGAGCCGCACGTCCTACAATCCTGCTTTTGTCCAGGCGTTCTAATCCAATGTCCAACGCGACGGAGACACTATCTACAGCAGCATCAATCTCTACGACATAGAGATTGATTTGCCCACTTTTTCTCGGATCGCAGGGCTGCCCATCCGAGGGGACGACATCACGACGTACGGTGGCGACGATTGGATCCTCAACAACGAGGCGGTCATCATTTGAGAGCTTGGGATCACCAACCTCATTTGTTGGAACACGGGTTTACGCCTACGTCGTACTAAACCGTGTTCGTTTTATGACAGGTTTTGATAATGCCAAACCGCCGCGAAAACAAGAGCAAATTAAGCAAATCAAAGGCGAGGAAACATAATGTGAAGGTGAATGCAAAATGAGAACCAAGAACCAAGAACGAAGACTTAGAAATTAATTGAGTCGGTCTTAATGTGATCAAGACCGGAACAAACTTCTAAACTTGGCTCTCTAGGCTTATCTCGTTAAAATATATTTTTGCATATTCAAAAATGTTTTTCATAAGTTTTTAAACAAGTCTAAAACACTTGGTGTTCGCCCAAACCAAAAACCAAGCCATCCGGCGTTCGGCTTTCGGAAACCGGCGTTCGGCATTCGGTTATCAGTGTTGGTTTTTGGCGTTTAAATAGTTCTCCAACAAAAACGCTTCAAAAACCACCCTTTGTTTTTAGTCGTTTCGTAAAAACCATGCGAAACAACGTAAACTTGGCTAGCCATGGTTTTTATCTAAATGACGTGGTTTTCAATATGTTTCACTTGATTTCTTAGAAAAATGCATTAGATAAATGTTTTTCAATACTCGGTTTTTATTTTGGAGAACTTAGATTTTTGACATCGGCTAACGGCATGACTAAACCAATCATGGGTCTGGCTAAACCAGCCCAACAACAATGTTGGAGTGACCAACATGTTGGAATGCATGAGTTCAACCCTTTCTATGTTGTGAAGTGTTGACTCACAGGTTTTGATAATTGACAAATACAATTTATTCAAGTCAAGATTAAAGTGCTACAACGACACACACGAATACTTGAAGTGTCATTCCTTGAAGTATTCAAGAAGGTGCATAAGATTTTATTAGAGTTTGAGACGCGTTCAGAGCGCCTAACGGAGGACTCAGATGAGTAGAAGATTTCCGAAAACTTTTTATTTATTTGAGTCGTAGAAATAATTTTAAGGATGACAAAAATATCTTCTCTCCAAAATTATATTTATGAGAATTAAAATAAAAATTATATTTATTTTTGCACTCAGTTGAAAACTCTTTTTAACTGTTCAAAATAGTTTTATTGAGTTAGTTACAAAAGGTGTGCCAAACATTTATCAAATATTTATTTTTATATTATAAAATATTTTTAGTAAGCAAAAATATTTTATTCAAATATTTTTCGTGTACATCGTTTTACGCACAAATTTTTTTTGGGACTCATTTTCTACACCAAATATTCACCCTCATAATTCAAATTGAATTTGAATTATTTTATTTGCATTGGGAGCCTCCTAATCCTGATTTCCATGTCTCAAACAATGGACTAAACTCCATTTTGTCCTTCCAACTCGCCCACATGCTTGTGTTCTTCATGTCTGGGCATTATTGTGGCAATAATCGATTATTACCTCTGGAATTAATCAATTATCTCGTCTAGAAGGAACAAATCGATTAACACCTTTGGCTTTTATCGATTATCACTTTTTCTGCGCAGAAGGAATTTTGCTCTGGCAAAATTAATCAATTTTTTTACTTGCATTAATCGATTTTTTATGATGCATTAATCGATTATGGACACTCTATTAATCGATTTTTATGCTGCATCTTTTCAGCACAGTTTTTTTTCTTGGACCAATGGATATATTTCTTCACCTCCTATTTAAACACCCTTCTTTGGTCTTTTTTAAGTACAAGAAACACTCCAATACTTCCCATTCTTGAGGTGTTAATCCTCCATCAATCTTTCCTTAAATTTATATCATTTTGAGATAAAACTTTTTTTTAAAGAGAGGTTTCTTGTCATCCATTAGAGCAAAACATTTTCTCATTCTTAATCTTTTGAGAGCTATTGTTGAGAGGTTGAAGAAGAGTGTTCTTCTTGGTGTACAAGACTTATGCGACTTAAGTCTTGGGTGTAAAGTCTAGTAGAGGGCATATCTACGAGCGGTTGTGTCGAGGCTGGTGGGATTCAAGTTCTCGAGTTGTAAACGGTTTGTTAAGCACCCGTAAGCTTAACGGAAGTTGTGGTAGCTTCGAGAGAGTCTCTCGGAGAACTGGACTAGCCACGAGGTGGTGAACCAGTATACATCGGTGTGTTCTTTGCCTTCTCTCTTTTATTTCCGCGGCACTTACGTTTATACTATTAATCCTGCAAAAATCAGTAATCATTCTCAACAACTCTATTCACCCTCCCCTCTAGAGTTGCACGCCTTGTCTAACAATTGGTATCGGACCAGGTATCTCTAACGCTCTTTGTGACGTTTGAGAAAACGATCAAGAAAAAATTTTTAGAATGTTGAACGCAGGGATTCGAGAAGGGCAATCCACCGTAAGGCCACCATTTTTTGATGGAACAAATTACTCCTATTGGAAGGAGCAAATGAGGATTTTTGTTCAATCAAACGAATTCAAAATTTGGCTTGCTATCAAGAATGGAGATAGCTTCCCGATGAAGAAAATAGGCGATACACTCATCCCCAAGGACGAGGATGAATATGATGAAGCCGGCTTCAAGAAGGCTCAATTGAATGCCACCGCCATCAACTTCTTGTATTGTGCTGTCAATGCCAACGATTATCAAAAGATATCTCGTTGCCAAACCGCCAACCAAATGTGGAACAAGCTCATGATCACATACAAAGGTACGCCTCAAGTTTGTGAATCAAAAATTGATTTACTAACCCATGAATATGAGTTGTTTGCTATGAAAGAGAACGAGCTTGTGGAGGACATGTTTGGAAGATTTTCAAACATTATCAACGACCTCGATATGCTTGGAAAGACTTTCACCGACAAGGAGTTAGTGAGGAAAATTCTACGAAGTCTTTCCAAGGAATGGGAGTCGAAGGTTAACTCCATTTACGAAGGCCGAGATTACAACGTCATCACATACGACGGTCTTCGAGGTAACCTTATCACCTACGAAACAAATCATCTTTCACATACTCTTGACGTTAAGAAGAGAACGGGAATTGCTTTTAAAGCATGCTCTTCTCAAAAAGTAGAAATTGGTGATTCGGATTCGGATAGTGATAGAGATAGTGATTCTAGCACTTCCTGTGATATTTTGGTTGAATGTTTTAACGAGTTTTTGAAACATGATCTAAACAAGAGCAAGAAGAAACACACCCCAAAGTGTCATATGTGCGGAAAGCTTGGCCACTGAAAATTTAAGTGCCCGAAGCTCAAGAAGAGGAACAAAAAAGATGAATTTGCATACTTTTCGTGGAAGTATGGTGAACCTTCCAAAGACAATTGCCTCATCGCTCTTGAAGAACAAAATGTGTGGTCGGGTACTTGACGCACATGGAAGGTGTGCTTGAAGACTACAAATTTGTAGTGGATGCTCCAAGCACTTAGCCAAAGAGGTTGCATCAAAGGGGAGTCATTGTTTTTTTTTGAATTTATATGAATTTATTTGGGGAATATACATAGGATGTTTTGCATATAGTAAGGGGGAATTTATTGCTATATGTGTTAATCTTTTTGCATGCCCTATTTTTTAAAGGGGTAGATAGCATACTTTAAGAGGGAAGTATTTTATTTTCCTAGAAATGCATGATTCTAGGGGGAATGTGATTTTTCTTATTTGTTTAGAATTTTTTTCTCCCCGGAATGCATGAGTTCTTTTGTTACATTATTTTTGATAATGCCAAAAGGGAGAAGAGTATAGGAGTATATGCTTTAATTTGTTATTTGTTGGTAGCATATCCTCCATGTGTTTGTCATTATTAAAAAGGGGAAAATTGTTGGAATGCATGAGTTCAACCCTTTCTATGTTGTTAAGTGTTGACTCACAGGTTTTGATAATTGACAAACACAATTTATTCAAGTCAAGATGAAAGTGCTACAACGACACACACAAAGACTTGAAGTTCCATTCCTTGAATTATTCAAGAAGGTGCACAAGATTTTATTGGAGTTCGAGACGCGTTCGGAGCGCCTAACGAAGGACTTGGAGGAGTAGAAGATTTCCGAAGACTTTTTATTTATTTGAGTCGTAGGAATAATTGTAAGGATGACAAACATATCTTCTCTCCAAAATTATTTTTATGAGAATTAAAATAAAAATTATATTTATTTTTGGAGTCAGTTGAAAAATCTTTTTAACCGCATTAATCGATTTTTATGCTGCATCTTTTCAGCACAGTTTCTTTTCTTGGATCAACGGATATATTTCTTCACCTCCTATTTAAACACCCTTCCTTGGTCTTTTTTAAATACAAGGAACACTCCAATACTTCCCATTCTTGAGGTGTTAATCCTCCATCAATCTTTCTTCAAATTTATATCATTTTGAGAGAAAACTATTTGTTTTTAAGAGAGGTTTCTTGTCATCCATTAGAGCAAAACATTTTCTCATTCTTACTCTTTTGAGAGCTATTGTTGAGAGGTTGAAGAAGAGTGTTCTTCTTGGTGTACAAGACTTATGTGACTTAAGTCTTGGGTGTAAAGTCTTGTAGAGGACATATCTACGAGCGGTTGTGTCGAGGCTTGTGGGATTCAAGTTCTCGAGTTGTAAACGGTTTATATTATTAATCGTGCGAAAATTGGTAATCATTCTAAACAACTCTATTTCCCCCCCTCTAGAGTTGCACGCCTTGTCTAACACAACAGCGCTGTCTGGCATGGGCAGCTGAAAACCATGGTTTGGCATTAAGTCTTTCAACATGGATGTTGGTAAATGGACATTGCTGTCGAGCCAAGGTTGGATTTCCAGAAACATCTAAAACAGCGATGTAGACTTCTCTACATCGATGTCCAACCTAAGCCAAAAGAAATGCCTTTGGCAGAAAGTTTTTGGACAGCGCTGTTGACCCAGAAACAGCGATGTCAGGCCATTTTTCACCCTTCAAAGTCAGGCCTGAATTGCGAAGTTCAGGTAATGAACATCGATGTAGGCACCTGACCGTTGGAAGGAATTTATGGCTGAAACTTTCCATGTTTGGAAGTCAACAGCGAAAACAGCGCTGTTGGCCTTTTGGACATCGTTGTTGGCCTAACCGTTGCTTCTTGATTTTCAAAAACTAAGCCTAGAACAGCGATGTCCAAGTCTTGGACAGCGCTGTCAGGCTGATTTTCAGCAAATCCAATTTTAATCAAATCCCAGAAATTGTGCCAATCACCCCCATTTAACTCCTACCCGTTGGAGCCTATTTTTCTACTATAAAATGGGGTGTTTGGGTATGCTTACACGACACATTACTTCACAACTCCTATTATTCATTGCATTACATTCATACATTCTTCATAGCTTTTCGAGAGTCATTTTTGTGAAGTTCGTGTTGTGTTCTTGAGCGTTTTTAGTTACTCATTATCCACTCTAAAAGAGAGTATTGTTCTTGAGTGTTTTAGTGTTTTTAGACACTTGATAAGAGAAAGTTTTTCTCTTGAGTAGTTCGAAGGAAGGGTTGTTTCCTTCGAAGGTTTGTTGAGGTTCGTGTGACTCGAACTCTCAAGTTGTATGGGTTTGTTAAGCACCGTTAAGCTTAACGTTGATAGTGTAGCTCGAGAGAGTCTCTCAGGAGGCTGGACTAGCCACACGTTGTGGTGAAGCAGGGTAAAAACGGTGTGCCTCTTCGTTCCTCTTTACTTTACTCTTTTAAGTTCTTTATTCCTGCGTCATTTTTGTTTCAAACGCTATTCACCCCCCTCTAGCGTTGGGACATTTTTCTAACAATTGGTATCAGAGCCTAACTCTCTTCTAGACTTAACCGTTTGAGAGGAATAAGATCATGGGCTCTTCTTCTAGAAATTTGTACGCAGGTGTTAGCGAAGGGCAATCCACCTCTAGGCCACCGCTCTTTGATGGTACCAACTACTCTTATAGGAAAGAACGGATGAGAATCTATATGCGTTCCACCAACTTCCAATTTTGGTTGGTCATAAAAAATGGCGAGCAAATCCCAATGAAGAAAGTGGGAGAAACCACGGTCCCATTGATCGAGCATGAGTTTGATGCCGAAGACATAAAAAAGGTGGAAAACTACGCAAAGGCCATCAATATGTTGTATTGTGCGGTTAACCCCGATGATTACCGAAAGATCTCCTGCTACACAACCGCTAAGGAGATGTGGGACAAGCTTGAAGTGACGTACAAAGGTACCGATCAAGTTCGTGAAGCCAAAATCAATTTTCTCACCCAAGAGTATGAAATGTTCTGCATGAAGGAAGGTGAGAAAATCGATGACATGTTTGACCGTTTTTCAAAGATCATCAATGATCTTCATGCTCTTAAGCAGACATATGCCAACAGGGATCTCGTAAGGAAAATCCTGCGGATCCTCACCCCCGAATGGAGATCAAAAGCCGACGCAATCTACGAATCCATCAGAGTCTCCAACGTCACCATCGACGGGATAAGAGGTAACCTTAAAACATATGAATCTACTATTCTAACCCCGTCTTTGGATGAACAAAAGAAAAAGGGAACAACTCTCAAAGCCACCAAGGAACTGGTGGAAGAGGTTTCAAGTGACAATGACATCGAGCCCGGCAAGGACAAGAAGCAAGAGGAATCAACCGACCAAGAGGAGGGCGAAGCTGCAAACCTCATGGCGCACGAAATGCAAGAAGCACTTCCAAGAGGTATGTACCACTTCTTCCGACTGATACTTTTGAAGAAATGCAAGAAGCACTTCGAGAACTTTACGAAGAATTTGTTAGCGCTTCCAAAACAAACAAATCTCTAAAGAAACGTCTTTCTACACTTGAAAATGATTTTGAAAAGTTGGACAAAGAAAATGAAAAATTAAAACAAGAAAACAATTTTTTTTGGAAAAAGAAGCGCTGACAAACTGGAAAGTTCCTCAAGCGAATGTGAATCTTGTAAAGCTTTAAAAGAACAAGTCACTAAACTTGAGAGCAAGGTCAAGAAGTTTAATACTCCGCACAAAGATTTAAATTTACTCCTTGACACTATGCATTTTTCTAAGGAAGGAATAGCTTTTAATAAAAACGAAGCTAAAGTTAAAGAAAACGTTGAGCAAACGCCTAGACAACCACCTAAGGCTCAACGTAAGAAACTTAAAAATCAGAATAATAGAAAACCTAGTCAACCTAAGGACACTAGACAACCTAGACAAAAACCTAGGAATGAAAATTTTCATGGTAGACAACCTAAGAAAAATTATCAAAATGATTTTGTGCATAAAACGGATTTTTCTCAAAATAAAAGAAATAATGTTAGAGCACCTAGGAAAGGTCAATTTCAAAATATTCAAAGACCATCTTTTTCACAAAATACGAATAATATGGTTAGACCCCCTAACTACTATGAACCTAGGCACATGTACAATCCCAATGTAGTTTGTCATTATTGCAATAGGATATGCCATATTGCGCCCGTTTGCTTCACTAGGCACATTCACCTATCACAAAATCAAGCACACTACCATCACACACCTAACACATGAGGACCCAATGTAAATTGGGTACCTAAAACTCATTGATGTGTTTCATAGGTGTGCTTGAAGGCATCAAGTGTACTTTGGTACCTTGATAGCGGATGCTCCAAGCACATGACCGGGGATGCATCCAAGTTCCTTCAAATAAAACCCGCTAAAGGAGGGAACGTAATCTTTGGAGACAATAGCTAAGGAAAAATCACCGGCATTGGTTCTGTAGGTAAATCCAATGACTCCTCTATAGATAATGTCTTGCTAATTAAGGGTCTTAAACACAATCTCTTGAGCATAAGTCAATTATGTGACAAGGGAAATCATGTGACCTTCGATTCAAAATCATGCACGGTAGAACGCCTTAGTGAGATAATAAGGTTATTCTACGTGGTGATAGAATCGATAACATTTATATGGTTAACATAGACAAATCACCTTCCAGCTTTGCTAAGTGCCTCATGAGTAAAGAGGAAGAAACTTGGTTATGGCACCGAAGGGTAGCTCATATGAACAAGAACCTTTTGAACAAATTGGTTTCACAAGACTAAGTAATTGGCATTCCAAAACTTAAGTTTGAAAAAGACACCATATGTGATGCATGTCAAAAGGGGAAGCAAGTTCGGGCTTCGTTTAAGTCTAAAAACGTTGTTTCAATGTCTAGACCGCTTCAACTTTTGCACATGGATCTCTTTAGTCCTTCTAGAACGAAACGTTTCGGTGGTAATTACTTTGCGTTTGTGATTGTCGATGATTACTCTAGGTTTACATGGACCTTGTTTCTTACTCATAAAAGTGTGGCATTTCATGTTTTCTAAAATTTTCTAAAGAAATTTCAAAATGAAAAAGAAACAACCATAGTAGCCATAAGAAGCGATCATGGGGGAGAGTTTAAATTCGATCGAAATCTATTTTCGGATTTGTGTGACGAACTCGGCATTAATCATAATTTCTCAGCCCCACGTACACCACAACAAAATGGAGTGGTGGAATGTAAAAATAGATGTCTCGAAGAGATGGCTAGAACTATGATGAATGAGGCAAAAATCCCTAAGTATTTTTGGGCGAATGCCGTAAGTACCGCGAGCTACGTGTTAAACCGAGCCGTCATTCGACCGATACTCATGAAAATGCCTTATGAATTATACAAAGGGAGAAAGCCAAACCTTTCCCATCTTCGAGTCTTTGGTTGTAAATGTTTTGTTCATAATAACGGCAACAATAACTTGGGAAAATTTGATGCCAAGTCGGACGAAGGGATTTTTCTTTGTTATTCATTACGTAGCAAGGCCTATAGAGTCTTTAATAAACGTACATTGACTATTGAGGAGTCCCCTCATGTTGTGTTTTCTAAAGATAATACTCTCTTGGCGGGAAAGGATATTTGTGATGATCTTGCAGATTCGCTCAAAAGAATACACGTCGAAGATGATGAAGAAGACATGCCAATATACAGAAACCCGTAGCCGCAAACTGAGGAAACACCTCAAGTGACTGTCGAAGATGAAGAAGATCAAGCGAACGAAGAAGAACACGAGGAAGCCCAGGAACAAGAAGAAGAAGAAACCAAGCTTCCCGCCGCATGGAGAACGAACAAGAACCATCCGCTTGATGAGGTAATTGGCAGCATCAACTGCGGGGTAAGTACTCGTAACTCACTTAGGGAAACCGTAGGACACATGGCTTTTGTTTCTGAAATTGAACCTACAACCATTTCCGAAGCAATAAACGATGAACATTGGACCTTGGCTATGTAAGAGGAGCTAAACCAATTCAAACGGAATGACTTTTGGGAATTGGTGCCAAGGCTCGATGATCGTACGATTATTGGTATGAAATGGGTGTTCCGTAACAAACTTGATGAAAATGGAATAATCACTAGAAACAAAGCTAGGCTCGTAGCTAATGGCTACAATCAAGAAGAAGGCATTGATTTTGAAGAAACCTATGCAACCGTAGCACGTTTAGAAGCTATACGTTTACTTCTTGCTTTTGCTTCGTCTATGGATTTTAAACTTTATCAAATGGATGTTAAGAGTGCCTTCCTCAATGGTTTTATTCAAAAGGAAGTGTATGTTGACCAGCCCCCGGGGTTTGAATACTTTGAGTATCCCGACCATGTCTTCAAACTTAAGAAAGCGCTCTACGGTCTTAAACAAGCACCCCGTGCTTGGTACGAACGTTTGAGTAAATTTTTTTTGGATAGTGGCTTTCAAAGGGGAAAGGTTGACACTACACTTTTTATCAAGAGTAAAAACAACAACGTTCTATTGGTTCAAGTTTATGTAGACGATATTATATTCGGTGCTACTAACGAGTCTTTGTGCAAGGAATTTTCCAAGTTAATGACTAGCGAGTTCGAAATGTCAATGAGAGAAGCTCACGTTCTTTTTGGGACTTCAAGTGAAGCAAATGAGATATGGCACATTCATTTGCCAAACTAAATACTGCAAAGAATTCCTAAAACGGTTCGAAATGGAAAACGCCAAAGCTATGGTGACCCCGATGAGGACATCTGACCATCTTGACAAAGGCGAGAAAGGTAAGGAAGTAGAGGTCAAAAAGTATCGAGGTATGATCAGATACCTTCTTTATCTTAACTCTAGTAGGCCGGATATCATGTTTAGCGTATGCCTTTGCGCTAAATATCAATCGTGTCCGAAGGAATCACACTTAACGGCGGTAAAACGGATCATGAAATACCTTGTCGGCACGGTTAACGCTGGACTGTGGTATCCCAAAGGTTCTTCTTGTCATCTCGTTGGTTACTCCGACTCGGACTTTGGCGGTTGCAAATTGGACCGTAAAAGTATGAGTGGAACTTGCCACTTACTTGGTAGTTCTCTAGTCTCATGGTTTAGTAAGAAACAAATTAGTGTTGCGTTATCCATGACCGAAGCGGAATATGTAGCCGCCAGTAGTTGTTGTGCTCAAATCCTTTGGATGAAGCAACAACTCGTGGACTGTGGCCTTAGTATCAATCACGTTCCTCTTCGTTGTGATAATACAAGCGCCGTAAGCTTGACGAAGAACCCCGTTCCTCAATCAAGGACGAAACACATTGACATTAGGCATCATTTCATTAGAGATCATGTTCTCAAAGGTGATGTCGAAATTGAGTTCGTTGAAACACTCAACCAATTAGCCGATATTTTCACAAAACCTTTAGAGAAAGAGTCGTTCTTCCGCATTCGAAGTGAACTCGGAATCCTTGATTCCACGATGATCTAAGTTGTGCATTTTAACTTGTTAAACATTTACTAACTTGAGCGTCGGAGACCTTTTTCTTTTTTGCAGGTACCCCGTTCATAAAATCAGGGGGAACCATGCAAACATCGCTGTAAGGAGGACAACATCGCTGTTCATACAACGATCTCAAGGTGACCAACAGCGCTATTGAGGGAAACACTGTAACACCCCGGCCCCCTCCCTGGCCGTAAGTGTTCGCTCATAGGATTGTAGACTGTCCCCACAAACCAACACAAGTGTTTCCCGCACACTTTGTCCTCACTCATGCGCGCCCAAGGAAAACTTCCCAGGGGGTCACCCATCATAAAATTGTTCCAGGTCAAGCACGCTTAACCTTAGAGTTTCTAGGTGATGAGCTCTCGAAAAGAAGATGCACCTTGTTGGTACGAGTAGTACTATCAATCCTTTTGAGGTCTTCCCATTCTCATCTTAATACAGGGTATTACAAACACCATCAACCTCACATGAACCAACAGCGATGTATGATAACCCAACATCGTTGTCACAGGGAGTCCTCATACTCTATGTTTTCCAGAAACTTTTTTTTACATCGCTATAGCATTTCCAACATCGCTGTTACTTCAAACACCATTTTTCCAATCAAAACAAGAACGTTCTTCAACAGCACTGTACGTTTGTGCAACATCGCTGTCCATTTTTACAAATTTTTTCCTTATCGTAAAACAGCGATGTAGGTAAACCCAACAGCGCTGTTCTAATGGGTTCATTCCCTCCACATTTCCAGAATGTTTTGGAACATCGCTATAGGGTACTTAACATTGCTGTGCTTTGGACACCTGCTTTTTAAACTTAACGCACAACAGCGTTGTAGAAAGGCACAACATCGATGTCTGAACAACGATGTAGCCTATTGAACGTCGTTGTTCACCTTGATTTTTTCAAAAAAAAAACTATCCATTGGACACTGAATTAAATGCTCCAACAGCCATTTTTTCAAAATTTTGAACGTTGGGAACCCCTCTCCCTATATATTTGGACTCCATCTCTTCATTTTTACACACACAAACACAATCTATTTCAATTCTCGTTGCATATTTCATCTGCTCTACATTTTTCTTGTGTGTTCTTCATCACAATGGGCAAGGACAAGAACCGGGCAGGAACCTCCGAAAAATCCAAGGCCAAATCCCGGGCTCCTACCACGACCTTCGAGGAATGCCTCTACTACGGAGACGGGTCGTACCTCTAGTTCGATTCAAAGGAGGAGCGCACCCGCTTTCTTACCTTCTTCTCCAAGCGGGTTGTGGCTCCCCCGCAATTTGTCTGGAGCGACTACTGGAGTTGCTTGGCTACGACTTCCTCAATGCGCAGCTCCACCAAACCGGGCTATGGCCGTTCGTCTCCAAGGCCCGTAAGGAGATCAACCCGGCGCTGGTTAGGGTTTTCTCCTCGAATCTTCAGCGTGAGGATGACATCATCTATAGCCTCGTCAAGTCCAAGCCAATTGAACTCAACGTGGAATGCCTTGGGCGCATCGCCGGCCTCCCCTATCAAGGCAACGACATCTCAACCTATGGCGGAGAAGATTGGGTCCTCAACAACGAGGGCCTAGTGTAACACCTCGGCTCGCATGACCCAAACCCGTGAGACAGCGGACCGGTGTGCCACTGAACTGGTATCCGAATTTGCGACATTTTCAAAACAATTTTAAACAAACGTTCTATCAATACATATAAAAATCCATCGGAGTAATTTAAAATAATGCGGAAGCCTTTTTAAAGTCAAACAACTTGGGATCTTGCCCGAAAACGTAATAAGCATTAAAGTTAATTAAATAAAGCATAATCAACAGATTAAAGAGACAGCCACGCCATCGTACATCTCCTCCTCAATGCCCTCTGGGATCGGCTCTAGGTTCATCTGTCTGATCACCTACGGACAGCAAAAAGGAAA